CACGCACACACACACACACACACACACACACACACACACATGAATGAACTTGGAATCAAAACAAAGCAGCCTTTAGAGGGAAAAGGGTTTGGGCTTCTCTTGCAGTAATGTCTTTTTATTACATGTACTGTTCAGCACTTTGGCTCGACCAAAAATCGCTTTTAAACGTGCTATATAAATAAAACTTGATTTGATTTGATTCTTCTGCAAGCATGAGATGGAAGAGGTTTCAATAGCGAGTGTCACTTTAAAATGCTGCTTTTCCAGAGATCATCTAACTATGCTTTTAACACTTTTTGCTGCATTTAAAAAGTCTATTTTTAAAGTATTATTTGACCTCTTTTATGAATCGTCTTGTGGTTCAGTTGATTTAGTTTTTCTAGCCTAAACATATGGACCAATTATCAACTAGTGCATTGATTATATATTATATATAACAAAATAGATTTTTTCTTAGATCTGAATTAACGTTGGCTTTTTTAAATCTAATTTAGAAATTAAATTAATTAGCTGTAAATGATAGCAAATATACTTTTAAAGGGCTTTAAAGCTAGTCTACATTATCTCCTCAGCTTCTTACTGGTCCAGTTTCCCACAAGAACCTTTGGTTACTTGAAGTTTTTAATTGCACGTTTTGATTGAAGTTAGTCCGTCCGTCAGAAACATTATCAAAAAGCTACTGATCCTAGATCATATCACACAGAAACAACGTGAAAGTAAATGCTGTGTTGATTGCTCTAAGCATCTGTATACTTTCTAGCTTCCATGTCGTTTCCACATTAAGACTGAATGTCCACAATGACTTCCCATCTCTGTAAACGGCACCATCTGAGGAGCGAGTGAATGCACCATTGGCGTTAAAGGTTGGTCTACAGTAATAAGATGAATTGAACTCCCCGTACTGTAACCGCGGAATCGCCCGATGATTTAACGGAAGCACTCTGTGTACAGTCTCTTTAATATGACCTACACTTATGGACCACTACACATGTGGAATAAATAAATCATCTTGTGTGTGCGCAGATAGTTAAGTCCATCTCTGGAAGGACTTCTCAGTAATTTGACCGTCACAGGCGGAGACAACACAGCCGGCTTATTGATCTCCTCCCACAACAGCACACCCGGCCTTATTTAATAAAAGCACAGGCAGTCACTAACAATAAGAATTTGGACCAATCAGAGCGAGGCGGACACAGAGTGCATCAAGCAGTCAACACCTTAATGAAAGTGACCAAGAGGTCCTAATGGATGGAGTAGTGCGTTGTACCGATGTAACACGGGTTAGGAAAGCTGAATATGTGCCGATGTCAGCACCCGAACGGCACACTTTTGCTCAACTTTCCTAACAATGCAATAAACCACATCTCAGGGGTTTTTATTGTTGCACTGTGCCACAACTTCCCCACATTATCCCTCATAAAACTCACTCCCCCTCCCACGCAGTCCCATACAGCGGGCCCCGTAAGTATTCGAATTGCAACAACATTTGAGGCATTCGGTTCGATGCTCTTGATGATGCGGAAAGACAAAACCAATGTGAGATTTAAAAGGAAAAATCCTCCCACGGATCCTCCCACACCGATAGATATCAGACATCAACGTACGCAGCTCGGTGCATTACGGGAGTTATATCATAATGAAGGGCTGACATCTTGTTCTGTCTGTCAGTGTGTGTAGTTTCACTTCAGGTATCTTACATTCCTTCCTAAAGAAACCCAGAAGGCCTGCAGCTACATCTGGTCTCTGTTGAGCATCAGAAAAAGACACAGGCGCTTTAATTCTCCTCTCTTTCCGAGGAGATTAAACGAACAAATAAAGAACAGCAGGGTGCGTCGGATACATCAAAAGATGGAGATTACTGTCAATAAAAAGACCATTTTTAGCTCGTTATTATCTTCACCGTCTGCCTGTGTGTGAGTGCGGCTCACAGCGGGCTTAAAACGCCTCTTAGTCACTGTATTGTCATCTCACTATACTACTTTTATTATGTGTAGCAACCTGGATGTGGAGGAGGTGGCTCCGTGTCTTATTACTAATGAAGGACACAATGGATTTAAAGGAGACACATATAATTGGAAACCTACTGTAGCAAATATGATATGAATAGAAGAGCAACACAACGTCCTCCCACAAGCAGCTATCGTCCAATCATATCCTCGAGCTTATTATAGCTGCCTATCAACACCTGAGCAACACCTATGCTAGTGTAGGCATACAGAATGTAGCTAAAAACTCACCTGGCTTTTAATACTAGTTGAGAATAACATTTTGAAATGTGTATATGTTTTTATATGTTTCTAGTTATTGTGCATTTTATCATATGTTTAAAGTTCCCATGTCATGGCCATTTCTACTGATCATATTTCATTGTTGAGGTCTACTAGAATAGATTTATATTGTGCAATGTTCCAAACTCACATTGGTTTCTCATACAGCATCTCTGTATAGTCTGTGTATTCACTCTCTGTCCTAAACGGCTTGTTGGAGCTCCTGCCCCCCCTCCCCCTCCCTGTGACCACAGTGTGCTCTGATTGGTCGGGACGTTGCGAGGCTCGTTGCTGCTGCGAGGAGCGGACAGGTTTCCGGGTCGGCGATACAGCGAGAACAAGCAAAACTCATCCTGAGCACACAAACACTCACAGCCGAAGTAAAAACAATAAGTGTGGCTTGATATTGAGTCAGAAAAAGGTTTCTAACGCTGTGAGAATGGGTCTGAGGAGAGCATTTCTCCACCATCCCAACTCGTCTATTACCAACCAGGGAGCTCTATGCAAGTCAATGGGACTCCCTGTTAGTTAGCCAAGGGGTCCTGGTGTGGGAGGGGCTCCAAGGATTGGTCCATTTGGGCCAATCCGGTCATTTGTTGTTGAGCTGGGTGTTCACACGTCACAGAACCCAGGAAGCAAACAATGGAAACAGAGAAATGTCCAACGAGGCGTTCTGAGGCAGCATAGACAGGTCTTCTCTGTGTTAGAGTTTTACTCCCTACAGGGTGTACTTTGAGGGTTTTGACTCTGCAGACCGTTCACATGCAGAGAAACCTTCATAACAACAAGGGGACGGGTAACAACCAGAGAGCATGACATGGGACCTTTAATTAATGTTTTATTATTTTAGTGTTATTTCATATTGTGTGTGTTCCCTGTACAGCACTTTGCTTGGTACACACTGAGGTTGTTTTAAATGTGCTATACAAACAAATAAAGATTGAGAGTGAGAGTAAAGCAGGCTGCCCTGAACTGTAATATCTTGATGTCACTTGTTCTCGTCTCCAGAGAGAAGCCCTTCCTGTCACAATGATGCCAATTGACCGAGGTAGCTTTCTGCACCGTGCAGCCGGAGCCAATTGACTCCTGACCCGCCAGTGTAACAAAGCATCGCCTCCCAGTGTTTTCTGAATCAATATGGCCGCTCTGCATCACTTCGGCGGCGCTCAGATCGTCTCCCCCTGCGCTGACCTTCCTGTAAATCGACTGGTCGAGAGGAGGAGGAGGAAGTCCTGCCAAACACTTACGGACATAAGGGCAGCCGAGTAAACTCTACATGGACTTGTGATTGTTTTCAAAGATAAAACATGGACCCTATGTGACCTTGCTACATAATATATTCTTGACTTTTTACTTGTTACTTGAGCCATCAATATGGGACGCTTTCCTGCTATATAGGTCAATTAGGACAGCTCACTTTAACGCTCAATGAAGCATATTATCTAAGCAATCTCACCATAAAATGAGACTAAATGACTGATGAGAAGAAATGTGCTGTAAACATATCCGTGACAAACCCCTTGCCTCTTTCTGTAACTGCTGTGAAGCTCCTGAGTAAAGAAAAGCTGCTTCTTTACAAGGTGAAAGCATCTTCATATCAATATCTTAATATTTACACAAACATAGGGTGGTATAAATTCAAAGGGGGGATTACACTGTCCCTTACAAATTAACAACAGAAGTCTTTGGGTCCACATTTAGACGTTAAATCCATGTTTTCGCTTGTCATGTTATTAATGATATTACACAAAAGGTATATGTTTTGGGGTTGAATGAGGTGTTTTGACTTTGGTCGGTGCAATAGGGGATAGCTATGGATGAATGAAACCTCATCAATCCCCACATAGAAAATGATATGCTATACAAATTGACTTCAGCTGTGTTTTAACTGACTGCTTACCGTCCATTCTTAGATAAAGCGAACTCCACTCCTTCCAGTTGGAAAGGCATCAGACGCTGCAGGAGCTTGGGAGGGAGGCCTGACAGTTGCTGTGACCATCTTGTTTCACAGCGAGGGGTCTGCAGGCCATTATCGTCCATTTCCATTTGTATATCCTCATCAGTTTCTCGGCACTCGCTCATTCAGCCGACAGGTTTTGGGCTGGAGAAAAAGAGAAAATAGATTCAAGATTGAATTCAAGGCTTTTATTGTGTGCATAGCTATAGTGTAGTTATGTCAATGAAAGTATTAGGTCACAGGCTCCTCCAACAATGCAACACAATAGAACAGATAAAATAGTTAAAATAGTGTAAGGAGAGTCTACTGTATATACAAGTAATTGGAATATGATATATTACATAAATAAGATTTACAAATGCAATATTGTTTGCAGTATGGATGCTGATGTTCAGGTTCAATGTTCTTTATTGTCAAACTAACATACACTGAACAAAAATATAAACGCAACACTTTTGTTTTTGCTCCCATTTTTCATGAGATGAACTCAAAGATCTAAAACATTTTCTACATGCACAAAATAACCATTTCTCTCAAATATTGTTCACAAATCTGAAAAAATCTGTGATAGTGAGCACTTCTCCTTTGCCGAGATAATCCATCCCACCTCACAGGTGTGGCATATCAAGATGCTGATTAGACAGCATGATTATTGCACAGGTGTGCCTTAGGCTGGCCACAATAAAAGGCCACTCTGAAACGTGCAGTTTTGCTTTATTGGGGGGGTCTGGGGGGGTCCGAAAACCAGTCAGTATCTGGTGTGAGGGTTAGGGTTAGGGTTAGGGTAATGTTGTATGTTGTGAATCGAGTGGCCTGTGTTCATCGTCCATAACATACGCCTGCCCATACCATAACCCCACCACCACCATGGGCCACTCGATTCACAACATTACCCTAACCCTAACCCTCACACCAGATACTGACTGGTTTTCGGACCCCCCCAGACCCCCCCAATAAAGCAAAAATGCACGTTTCAGAGTGGCCTTTTATTGTGGCCAGCCTAAGGCACACCTGTGCAATAATCATGCTGTCTAATCAGCATCTTGATATGCCACACCTGTGAGGTGGGATGGATTATCTCGGCAAAGGAGAAGTGCTCACTATCACAGATTTTTTCAGATTTGTGAACAATATTTGAGAGAAATGGTTATTTTGTGTATGTAGAAAATGTTTTAGATCTTTGAGTTCATCTCATGAAAAATGGGAGCAAAAACAAAAGTGTTGCGTTTATATTTTTGTTTAGTGTAGCTACAGAGTAATTATGTCATTGAAAATCTTAGGTCACTGGCTTCTCCAACAATGCAACACAATAATACAGATAAGCAGACAATATTAAAACAATATTAAAGTATATTATATTAAAAGTAATACAAAAGAAAAGTTTTTTAAAAAGTGGAAAAGTGAATACGAGTCTATATACAAGTTATTGGAATGATATATTAGATAATAGATAAATAATGACTAAGTAGCAGATGAATGTTATGAAATTGTTTCAGGTGTTTAACAGTCTTATTGCCTGCGGGATGAAGCTGTCTCTGAATCTGGTTGTTTTAGTCCGGATGCTGCGGTAACGCCTGCCAGACGGCAGCAGACTGAACAGTTTGTGGCTGGGGTGATGGGGGTCTTTTATAATCAGTAAACATGTTACATAATAATATTGAGGAGCCATCCCCTGCTGCCTATTAGCTCTGACAGGAATAGCATTATGAGAGGATGGGTGACGCAGTGTAGTGGACAAAGAAAGTCAGAATTTTTGATGAGGCGGTCAAAGTTTGCCGTCCCAGCTGCCCGCAGTTACAGTGTTGCCTCACCCGCTGCTGTCAAGCCTCCCTATAAGTGTCAACACCACATATTCATTATGTCTAAAACTGTAACAACATCCCAGAACAACAGTGGTCAGGTAGAGAACAGGATGTGCATGTCATATATTGTGTGCAAAGCTCATTTTTGAGATTAATTATGTTAGTTATAATAGCTATAATGCTTAGAACAACAATACTACATATTAACAACGGGTACATTTAAACTAAAATCACCTTACGGTATCAACGTATTATTTTCTGATCTGGAAAGCAGTGTTTTGCAGTTTGATAAAGTGTATCTCATGAGTTTTAAATTCACTTTAACTGTGATATATTAAGATAAGATAGTTCATTGATCCTAATTTTAGATTTTTTTCATCTCAGCAGCATAGATAAGACATTGCACATGAATTAGAGGTAAATATAATACAAATAACGAACAATAAAGATACATCAGTAGTAGAAGATAAACAAAATATGCAAAACAGTGAATTTATACATATTATATCATAGCACAATAATTATATTTTGCAAGGTTAGGGGCCAACAACAAGTTAACACACAATAAAGTATGCAAAAACATATTTGGAGTTAGTTTAACCACCTAAAATAAAGTCAGGATTTAGCAGCACCGGAAGTAAACAGACCTGCCCACAAAAATAAAAGCTCTTTACCCATATAATAATTATTTTAAAACCGGATGTATTTGTTTTTGTGTGGTATTTGACTCTCTCATCAAGCTACCATGCGAGTAGAAAACTAGCAAGATAACATTATTGCTTTATTTGACCTTTATGTAGATTTCAATGCCCCATGTGCAGCCACACATGCAGTCAGTTGTTGCTATGCATCGTGATTCTGCAGCAGTAACTAAGCACATAGCATGCATATAAAAGCCTTTTGTTAGCAAAGCAACATAAGAATTAACAAGCTTTTTATTTGTTAGTGAGTGTGTGGTGTCCTTACCCGGTTAGACAGTGGAAAGAGCCGCAGGAATCACTTTAATCTGGACTGAAACAGGAGAAAGTTTCCCGGCAAATGTCTCTGTTTAGGTCACCTAGCATCCGCCGCACGTGACGTCATCACGCATGCAACTTCCTGTAGCTTTATAAACAAATGCAATGACATTTACCTACAAATGTTAACTTTTGACATATTTTAGAAGCTATATATTGTTTTTAGTGCCATTGTGCAGAGGTGGGAAGAAACTAAGTACAATTACTCATTTACTAAAGTACTATTTTGAGATACTACTTGAATATTTTCATGTTATGCTACTTTGTACCTCTACTTCACTACAATTCAGAGGTAAATAGTGTACTTTTACTCCACTACATTTATTTAATACCTTTGCAGATTTGTATTAATGATGTTAAATATAAACAACACTTAAATAAGACAGTAGTGACTCCTGGAAGAAATTCACAAGCTACCCAGCAGATATTTTCAAACCCTAAATAGATAATTTAGGGCTAAAATAGGAAATTGGAAGACGTTTTTTTATTCCTCAGAAGGATATTAGTTGGATAATGTTTCAGTCTCCATGCAAAGTGCCATTACGCACAAAAAAATCCAGTAACGACAAAAACGTGTCATGTTTTCAACACCCTTACGTGTCCGACGTAAGGATCTGACGCACCAGGCTTTCTGCTCTCTCTCCTTCATTTCGCTTCTTCTCCCTCGGTAGAGACTCAACTGTGTTAACCAAAAGAGGTAAGGCAACGTTAGATATCTGCAGTATCATGTGCAACAATTATTGGAAGAAAAGACACCGAAAGGGTGGCTGTTTTCATGAGCTAGTTAGCAGTAAACATGTCTCCTGCTCGTGCATGACACCGGTGTTTGGCCGATTTCAAGCCCCAGTGGCAGGCCAAAAATGTGGCTGATATAATGTTGCTTTTTGCGCTGCTGCAAAAACACACACCTTGCACGCAAATGTGGACTCGAAATGGTTAGAGGACGCTTTTAAATTCGGCTTTATTCGGAAAAAAGCGTGCATTAGTAGTTAAATAATACAGCAGAATTTAATAACTTTTAGGCCTGCTTCGGCTGTTTCTCTCTCGTTAAGATGCGGCATGCCATTTCAATAAAATGAGCTTTAATTGCATTGCTTTGCTGTTTTTGTTATTGTTTTACACGCCGAATTCTTTTTACATGCATATATGTTCAGATTAAAAAGTCACCTGTTGTCCGTAGTTTGTCGGTTGGTCGATACAGAGGAAACATTAAAATTGCCACATTTGTAATGGAGTCTGGTGTAGCAATAGCCACCGAAAAGTAGCATTTAAATTGCATTGTTTTAATTTCAATAAAATGAATATACTTTCGATTTACCCTCACACCTTTAATACTCATAATATCTCGTCGTTGTGGTGGATAGATAACTGGATATTTCCTTCATCGTTATGGAAGCATAGAAAAAAATGTCCCCCGTATTAATATAGCCCACGTATTAATAATTGACATAAAACGCTGCGCAGTTAACGTTACCTGACATGAAGTACAAGATAACCAAAGCAGCTTATTTTCTCAATAAGGGAGATAAGTGTTAATGTTATATTTGTATTAATTATAAATAAAATGCATTAATGTCAATCACTCTCCCTGTATCCAAGGCTTGTTGCTTACAATAATATTAATCAATGAATGATGCAGTGGAGCTGTGCACATCATCAACACCAAGTGTTGATTTAATGCATGTTTTTAAAAGCCTTTTTATATAGTAGTATAGTTTTAAACATAGTGCAACTCCATTACTGTCACATAGATTATAAAAGTGGACCTTGAAACCTGACTTGAACTACATTCATGCTCGTAAAAATGCCATAAATAAAACATCTCATTTTAGTACTTGTGTAATAAATAACCCATTATAATTCCTATGCATTAACCCGGGCAATTATTACCTCATCTTTGCTGGAGATGGCACTGAAAGCGTATACGTTGCCACCACTGAGGCATCATGATAGTATCTTTTTCATTAAGGTACCAGCGGAGCCTGGTGGGTGGAGAGTGCTCCGTCCCTGCGGCTGCTGGTTTACAGGAGATGATGTGGTAATCTTTGCAGGGCTGTGTGTTGTGTGTTGTGTATGTGTTGTGTGTGTGTGTGTGTACTTTACAGGGATTTACGACCATAATAAGTCGTTGCGTGTTTGCTGATTGAGAATCCCTCAATGTGATTGTGCACATTTGGATGATATGGTTATCCCTCAAACATATCAGCGTCTGTTTTTACCTGCTGGGTGATGTATTGTGCATTCGGAGGTACACTAAATCAAAGCTCTGGTTGTGGTGGTGTACACTCTGTGGCACACCACTCCCAGGCTTAAAATAAACGCCAATAATTGTTTACCATAACTGTTTCTGCAGCGGAGACTCTGCTGACCGTTCATTACGCAGGTTAGGGCACATTCGGAGCTGATGACATTATCAGATATTGAGGTTGAGGATGCTGTGTAATGGCTTTCACCGAATGTGGGCCCGATGACTAAATAATTCATCGCCTTCCTGGGGGGAAAAAATCTCTCTTTCCGATAATATTTGGTCTGGGCCATTAAATAATTCATCCGCCTATCCATAAATTGTTTGTTCAATTGGTGACCTTTTCATGGGATTAAGGAAGCACAATAATACATTCTTCAGAGACCTGGCATAACGAATGGTACAATTATGAGGCAGGATCGCATCGGATCGGTTGTCGCAGTCTAGTGTTGGTTGCTTAGTGACAGCAGGAACTTTTCCGCCCACTGTGTTTGCTGTTAAAGTCTGAGTGACTGAAAGGACAAAAACAATCACATTATGGCAGTCTAGACTTCAGCTGCATAGGACCGGTGTGTGACTTCCTATGTCTTTGACAGCCTGTCCGTCACTTAGTGAGGAGAGTGCTTCATGAAGTCAATTATTCCCAAAGCTCAATTATCACGCTGTCGTGTAAGATATTCGATCCTTAATGAAATAAACAAGCCAAGTGAATTCTTGTGGAGGCTGTGATCCCTTTTGTTTTTCCTATTCAATCCTCCAAAGTCAGATTTAGATCAAACAGAGGAGGTGAGGGGTGCGGTTTGATCACGCACAAGCAGCTGCTCAGTGTATGGTTTCCTCTCTGATCCACCAATAAGCTTATGTGAGATTTGCCTAAAGCTCAATATTATTGCAGTGTTTTACTCCTCCTCTGCTTTCAGTAATGGGTGGTGTTTCAGGTGGTGGCTCAGTGGGATTAGCTGTAGCTCGCCTTCATGTGTGGAGCGCAGGGTGCCAGCTTTAATGGGAAGGTAGCCCAGTGAACAGCTCGGCCTCTCAGCGGCCAGCGCCTCCCCATCGTCTCTCCACCTGCTCTTTGAGCACCTAGCTGGCTGCCGACATGTCGATCCTCTCCTTTCTCTTCTCTTTCTCCACTCTTTTCTGCACCTTACCTCCCTCTCCTCTTCCTCTCACTCTCCTTCCATCTATCCCATGTCCCTGGCTGCCCTTTCCTCCTCCTCCTCCTCCTCCTCCTCCTCTTCCTCCCCCCGCCTCCATCCTAAAGCAGAGTAGCTAATGAAGAGCCCCATTTAGCCGGTGACTTTGGTTCAGTCGGCTCCGTAGTGCCGTCCGGCCACGGCTGCTCTGACTGGCTGCTCGGCTCTGACATCACACGGGGGCCAGCTGTTGATTTGGCGCTGTCTCCAAGGCTGGCTGGCTTGATGGGTTGTGGCAGGTAGACTTGTGCTCGCACAGCACTCTCCCTCCCTCCCTCTCTCTCTCTCTCTCTCTCTCTTTGTGACACCCACTCCCTCACCCTCTCCCTTTACACTCCCCTCTCCCCGTCTTCACTCTCACTCAGTCGAGCGAGCGAGCAGGAGGCAGCAGGCAGCTGCCGAGGAGCGAGCTGGGAGGCGACCCCAGCCTCCTCTCCAGCAGATTGTGCCTCCTGTACAATGGAAACTAAACGGTTGAGTAGCAGAAGGGATGGAGGGCAGAGCTGCCGGGCAGGTAGGTCCTGCAGCCTCCAGCCACTCAGGGCATCTCTCGTCCTTCTTCTCATTCCATCTTCATATTTCTCATTTATTTCTGATTTTCTCTCTCCTGTGCCTTTTTAAGGTTGTTTGATTTCTGCTTAAGGAGATTTTCAATACTGTTTTAAAAAAGGAACTGTTAATCCCTGAGAAAATCTCTTCTGTATCTGAGTTCTTTTTTTATGATTGCATGGCAGCAGTGAGTAAGTGTATTTCTCTCTGGCTTGTTGAACTCAGTGCAACATGAGATTGCCCTGAGCCGTGTTACTCAGTGAGCCGAGCCAAAGCTTTCCAAATCTCCTCGCCAGTTTGCCAATGCAGCTTCTGCTTTTCATTACGAGGATAATTATCCAAGACCAGCCAATGAGAGGCATCGCTCTGCATTGTACTCCGTCTCCAGCCTCGCTCCCCTGTTTGTTCTGCAGGTGTTGACTGCAAATGGACTTTTAATGAGTCTGGCAGACTTTCTGAGTTATGCCCCTCTCATAAGGCTCCATAGATTCAAACTGCTAGACTTGCATGTTAGTTTTCTTTGTTTATTGTTTCTCCCCTAATTGCCTGGATTGATATTCCCTGGAAGCTCTCCTGTGGGATAGGTAATGGATTACCTGCATGCTCTGCTGTGGATTTAATTTATTAATGCTGTCTGACTGCGCCTGAGCCCCGCCGCACCGCCTCATGTGACCTGCAGGCACGGAGAAAAGCGCAATTAGAGGCTCATTTATGTTTAAATGCTATTACGAGTAGTTCCTTAAACCCACACTGCCTCAGTCGCCCCAGAAATTGAGGCAAGCAGTGTATGAAAGTGATATCGTTTCATAAGCTTTTTCGCTAATCGTTTTTCTGGTCCAATCACATCGCTCCCCTGTCAGCGCTTCCCTGGCTTTGTAATTAGCAGAAATGGCTAGAAAACGGGAGATTAGTTACTCAGTTTAGCGAAACGCTGAAATCAATTTTTATCGTAGCGCCACGAGTGCAAACCAGCATTAGTATCCTAATGAACTGTTTATTTGATGTCTGATTTTCTCAGCCAGGGTGCATGTCCGGCGCCATGCTGAAATTACTCCGAGTCTTAGTCGGCGTGTTTGAAAGTCAGCGTAGCCGTAAAATGTTTGGCTGGCTTGTGATTCCTGTGGCATGAATGCACAATTCAACTCAGCCGAGCACAAGTGGTGATTTTTTTTTTCCCTCACGTGTGCAGGTGACACAAAGCTGCAGCCCTCAGACATGGCGTTACCTTTTGTACTTCGGTCTGCTTTTGTTTCCCTGTGCGCCGCTGAATAGAGCAGTTTAGTATTCTACATCTCTGCAGACAATATCCCAGCTGTTTGGCACCGCTCCCCCCGTTGTTCTTTTTATGTGACACTTGCAAACGCTCATCAGCCCCGGCAATAAAGCATGAATTATTTCTCAGCGCATTATCTGCAGCTGCATGCAGGGGGATGCTGACACTTTTATTTGATTGTGTTTCCCCTCAGGGCGCTTATAAATCTTCAGGATCACACAGAAGCTGGTGAGGGTGATGGCTTGTTCTTTTCCGCCCCGCGTTTGACTCATCTCCTCGTTCTGCTCGGAGGATAGAGGTGGGGATAGAGTAGCAGATAGAGGGAGGGATAGAGGGTCCTTCACCTGCAGTTGAGCTGGATTTAGCCCAGACGAAAGCCCTGATCCACGCAGAGCTGAACAGAGCGGAGGTGTGAGAGGGAAAGGTCAGCCTTTTGCAAGAGCCAGGTGTGTGTGTGAGGAATATAAGTGTCCTGGAGTGTCCTTGCTCGTTTGTTCCCGTGTGTGTGTGTGTGTGTGCACATGCCATCAGCAGTGGGCTCCTTTACGCTTCACAGTGATTGAAAAATGTCTCATTAACTCGCCATCGAACATAATTGTCCGTGAGAGTAGTCCATGAAGAGCGTGGTGTGTGATTAATTCGGCTCAGTTGACGGCCACCTTCATGACCCCACTGTGGGTTTTTCGAGAATTAATTTCCATAGAAAGAATATACATGCATAGACTGTGTGTTGGTGAAATCAAATTGAATTGGTTTTTACTGTTTGTGGCAATTATTCCCTGGATTCCAGTCCGACTAATTGGTCATATCTGCAATTTTCTAATGCATTTGTGTAGATTTGATGCATCTGAGTGTGAGTGTGAGGTTGCTGATATGCGATCAGGGTTTGGCAATAAAGGCGTTGTGACACTGAACGATGCCTGAGGGATTCTCTGTAAGGTTGCTGCGCTCTGCGGCGACTGTAATACCAATGAACCACTCCCTGTCAGCCACAGCACAAACCTGGAGGCAGGCGGAGCGTCTCATCAAGTTCACTGCTGCGCGTCTGTGTGTGTGTGTGTGCGTGTGTTTTGCGGTGCTAAGGTGTGTTAGAAGCTGCTGAGCACCAATCAAACGGTGATATTCCCTTTTTTTTTTTTTTTAAATTAGCTTTTTTCCTGGTTGTGCTGTGCATTGTTTGCGCCATTAGCATTCATAACGCTGTCTCCACCATATCTCACACACACACACACACACACACACACACACACACACACACACACACACACACACACACACACACACACACACACACAGGCACAGTGTGAAGTCCTGAAGCCCGCTCAGCAGCTCTGCTCGTAAAACCTGGAGCGCCTATGGCCGACAGAGCCACTTTTACACTCTGCGTGTGTGCACGTGTGTTCGCTGCAGGAGGATCATGGTTTTAATTTTTTTTCCCGTTTCAGACTTTGTAGCCAGCACCTTTATTCACAGCGGCTTGAATCGGAACAACCAAGAAGGGCAAAGCGTAGAGCCCCAGCAGCAAAATGATACTCCTGCTGTCACAAGCGAATAACCCTGTAAGAGCTGCATTTAGAACAGAGATAAGAGGGGGGGGAAGAAGGGTAAAGATAAGACCAGGGGAATATATAGGCGATGGTAATAAACGACTGGCTGCATGTACCAGGCTGTGTTCTCTCCAGATGTGAGTCATTATAATAATGACATCAACATTGATGAATGGGTCCTGCCTTGGGCCTCACACCTGTCAACGCCAGGGAGAAATGCTGCAGACTGAAGGGGACTGTTGCCCCACAAATTAGCTAAAATGTCAAACAACAATCATGTTAAAGTGTTGTCGAGTCTCAGATTAGTTAGATATAAAGAGGTTCTGGTGATATCACTATTTAAATATACAGTACGTGTGCTTTTATGGGCTGTTGGAACAAAAGCAATGCACCAAATGGTTTCCCCGCACGACGATCATCGGTTCAGTCTGCAGCCATGAGGTGTCAGGAGGAGGAAGATTATAAAGTGAGCCGGGTTTCCACTTGACCTTTTTGGCTGGCATGGGGGTCTCAGCGCGGCCATGTTGGGAGCAGCAGCCGGGCCTTGGCACCGCGGGGTGCCAGAGTCAGCGTGGCACCTCGCCCGCTCACTGAGGCCGAGAGGAAGGAGGGAGGGGGGCAATGAGGGGCTAGAAGAAGGTGCCGTTAGATATCAGAATCAGGTTTATCACCAGGGAGGTTCACACTTATGAGGAGTTTGACTTGATGTCGTGGTGCATATATAAAAGTAAAACACAGATAGAAAACTCATTTATGTTGAGTTAAGGGAATACAAAGCGTCATAATGTAACGGCTTAATTGATTAATGGAGTCATTGCCAACGTTAATGGAATTTTAAACTGCTTATCGTTGGGTTTTGGACATTTAAAGACGTCACCTTGGGAGATTATGATATTTTTCTAACATTTGATCAACTAAATGATGAATTGACTAAATGATTCTGCGGTTCTAATCTGATATGTGGCAACCACATCCAAAGAAGTCTTCAAACGAAGTCACATTTTCATAATGTAGAGGACTAACATGTCTGATTAAAGCAGCCATTTATCAGAAAAGTGATGCGCTCAATAAAACACACATTTAAAGAGAAAGCTGGAACACACACACACACACACAACACACACACACACACACACACACACTTTTTAATGATGTGAATATTATGGAGCTTTGTTGTGGTTGGCGTATTCAGATGTCTGCCCAGTGTCACCCTGAATTCATCCAGAAAGGCATTGGCTGGGAAGAAGAAGACTTTGTACGCTACACGGTTTGAAAATGGCAGAGGATTTTCGGGCTGAGATTTGCTCTCTTCGCTCGCTGCTCTCTGAATTCAGAATACTTGTTTTTTTTTAGGAGGGGCCTTCTCCTGTTGCCTCCGCCGCACTCCCATCTCTTTGCTCATCTATTATTTATGGCGCATTGGCACGCACAGGCCCAGAAATACACTTTCTTTTTGCTCCGATGCACAAATATTTTCCAGAGTTGCTGACATCTCGACTACTGTCAGTCCACGTGCTCTGACCTTTCACCCCTAACCCCTACGCCTCTCTTGTTGCAGGTCAGCAGGGGTCATGAGGGTGTCGGAGGCCCCGGTTGCTGTTCAGAGCAGCTGAAGCAGAAATGGGCAAAGAAGTCTGGATGGCATCGGTAGGCTCAGCCTCATCGACTTCACCAGCCTCGTCCTCCTTCGCCACAAGCATCTACGCAACAAGTACGTATCTTTATGTCAAAGAAATACTTAGTCAGGGAATGTGATGCATGTTTTTAAGGGATTTAAAAGTCAAGTTTAAAACCAAACTTAGTGCAAATTCTGAGAGACGTCAGTGAAATGTGCATGTTATTCTATCAGAGCATGTATCAAAAGTAGGTAAACAAATCTTCACTTTATAGAAAAACAGTTAGAGTAACAATGTAAATACTGCTTAACACCAGGGCAAACTAAATCCCACACAAATGTGCATGTTTTTTACGAGTATGAGACGTCGGTTGGTTTAATTACACATACAAGCATCTACTCAACAAGTACGTATCCTCCTTAAATCTGTTCAAATAAACAGTCAGTCGGGGAATGTGATGCATGTTATTAAGGGATTTAAAGTCATAAAAGTCAAGTTTACAACCAGACATCAGCTAAATGTGCATTTCTTTACGGATATGAGACGTTGGTTGGTTTAATTACACAGCTTCTGGAGCTAACTCTCCACTGGGGTGCAATTAAACCACTGCAGAAGAACAGGGTGTAACCAGATGACGTAATTAGTACACACTTGTTCAACAACACCATCAACCTCTGCATTGCTCAGAGGAAGATATAGGAACACTATCCCATTACTTTCTATATATAAGTGCATGCAAATAGACATTTCCCAAATTCACATCCTAAGGGTAAAGATATGAGGGTCCTTCTACCAAATATGTCATGTGTATTTCAAATGTCAACTCTTACATTATATTTTCATAAATGAACTCGCCAGTTATCACTTCCATTGAAGTATTAAGAATAAACATTATGCAATTTCCTTTTTATTCTGACATGAAATGCCCTGATCTCATTCCTCAAAAGTACCTTTGCAGGACAGTTTTGCAGCAATGCAATTCAAATATAACCCATTTTGAATAAACCGAACCTTTGTCTTGGCGATATTTGAGTCTGCTCCAATTAGCCTAAGACTAGATTTTTTTACTTTTTAAAAACACAATGATAGCTGGTGCTTTCCCTAATAAATGCACTTTGAAAGTTTGAATGGATTAACCATTTTAAACTCAACAAATGTAGGTAGTAAATTCACCTGTGATCAAATATATCTTTAAGTAATAACAGGAGAAAGAAAAAATAAATATATTCAGGTATTCTGCAATGCATTTGATTTGTTAGACATTTCCCTTAAAAGCAAATACCTATCATTACATTGAGTGAATAATCCATAATGTGACATTACAATATGAAGAGATTATATATCAGGAAAATAAAGTGATGTTCCCTTTCCGTCTTCGCTCATAAGAGACCAATTTGCTCGTCCCTAAATTCCCCGACGTTTCCTTAATGTAACACTAAGGATCAAATGATGATCTGTATTACTTATGCAGGGAAAACATCAGGGATTCTAAAGAGGCACACGGTGCAATTACCTCCGCCATGAGAGATGAGACGGGGGAAACTCAAATGCATCAAAGTCACAGAGCCAAATTTAGTCCAACACTCCGGTCCCATGATACAAATGTGTTTGGAAGAATGAGTGATTCGGCGAGGGGAAAAATAGCTATCCATCAGAAGCCCGGCTCTTGAAAAATATCTGTCCAATATTGCAAATCTTCAACACAGCGACTCAAGAGACTTCACTCATCAAAATGTCAGAGGCAGACACTAAATATTCAAAGGCGCCGCGCGGCACTCTGGAGAATTAAGCTGTTTTCCTGCAGAATGTAAAAATAATGTAAAGCAGTCGCTTTTGTGAAACCTTTTTGACGGGTCATTGAAATTCAACATCTGACTCTCCAGTGCCCCGCTACGTTCGAGCTAACCTCCTAGCCTCGCGCAGCATTGGGTTAGCGCTACATTTCCCGGGCAGATAAGCTCAGGAGAGCAGAGGGGACCTCACGAGAAGTCAATTACTCCGACATGGAGCGACTGACACTCGCTGTATCAGCTCTTTTGGGACGGAGATAAACAATCTCAGCCGGCTCTCTGCGATCAGATAGGAAAATGGCTCTGATCACTAGCGGGCAAATAGGTTGAGGCCCCAATTGGCAAGGACACACACACACACACACACACACACACACACACACACACACACACACACACACACACACACACACACACTCGAGCGCAGAGTAGCTGCTGTTGCGTGTGAATCCAGTTTTGATGTGCAAAGTGAATTTGATGAGCCCGTTTCTAATTAACCTATTAATCATAGCTCTCATGTACCAGATGTCTGCCCTCCCTTCTCGTGCATATGTGTGTGTCTTTGTGTGTGTTTCCCTGCATGGGGTCGGACTGCATAATTAGGGCGTATCAGCAGGATGAACTCACACTATGACTTCAACATAGGGAGGTCGTGGCATTACACAGTTGTTCCATGCAAAGGACCATAGGTGCAAAGCAGCTAATGCTCCAAGATAAGCAGATCTTTTATTTAGAAATTGTATTTTTTAACAAATGTAAGATCGTACCAATGGGGAAATGTTTGAATGAGTCATTAAAATCAAACTACATATGGGTCTAATCTGCATTTTCACTTCTATAGACTGTCTTGATTCGATTTTAATGATTTTTCTGTACTGCCTAGTGGTGATCGCAGACAAACACTCAATTTAAAAACATTGCTGCACTTATCGAATATAAACACAATTTAATGATTTACCTTGTTATCGTTTGAAATTATTAAGAATATTCAACATTTGTACTGATAGTAAATCCATTTTTTAATAATCATAACGTTCTTTAATATGAAATAAAACCTTTTATCTGTCATAAGAGTGTTTGTATGTCCCTTTAGAAGCCCCATCATATCCATATATCTTTACTTATTTTGTACCAATTGGGGGCCTCTCACGCGATGGACACTTGACCCCCCATGTGTCCTTCAAACACTTCCAAACAAGGGTGTCAAAGGTTTATAGTTTTTCGGTGCCGAGTGGAGACAGACGCTGTAATGTGAAGCTGTTGGATCTCTCAGGACCAAAGTGTCCTCCTGCTGTGTCTTCTCCAATCACGTCCATTGTGTGAGTCTGAACAGCTGCAGAGCTGCGAGACAGAAAGGAAAGATTGATGAATACAGAGCAGCGCCCCGCCTCTTTCTCACAGCGAAACACGGAGTTTGAGATGTGAAACACAGGTGTAGGTGACGACATGAATAACATCTGGAAACCATTTGTACACAGATCCGTCAGTTATGGCATTATTTACATTTCTGCAACAACTCCAAATATGTCGGCTATATAAACGTTTGTACGGCGTCTCCGTGGGAAACGATGTTTTGACACAAATCACTGTTATGATTACAGCTGCTTTCTAAATACACCCACAAGTAAACAGTCATTACTAAAGTCTCCTCAAACATGGAGATGACGCAGTGTGAACAGGTACGTTTTATTTACTTGTTTATGGATACCTAGTTTATTTAGCATTTGTAATTGCATGGAGCCCGCAGTAATACACCTCGTACTCTCTGTATTGACATTCTGATTATTTTTTAATAACGTAGGCTTGTGTTATTGCTTTTATCGATTAATGCACGGCGTCCTATTTTGCACGAGTTCATATTTCAGAGTAATGATGATGAACTGTTTCTATTAAACAGTGTAGAGAGAAGGAGGGGGACAATACTGGAGGCCTGCTACGCTATCGGACCAGATTCTTCAGTGCTTTTACCCTTTAGTGTTTATTCTCAGAAAGCTGCTCATGCATTGATCTCTACCTCATGTCCTTTGAAAGTTCTGAATTTATAAAATGATTTAGGTGTTGCCTTGTGTTGTTTTCTGAAATAATAAATGTCTCTGACTAATGAAAACTTGTTTTATTGTTTTGGTATAAATACAATGACTTCTTCATATGCTTTTTATATATATATATAGTACAGTGTTTCCCACATCATTTGATTATATGTGTGGGGGCACCGCAAATATCAACAGCTACAGTGGGGCAAAAAAGTATTTAGTCAGCCACCAATTGTGCAAGTTCTCCCACTTAAAAAGATGAGAGGCCTGTAATTTTCATCCTAGGTATACCTCAACTATGAGAGACAAAATGAGAAAAACAAAATCCAGAAAATCACATTGTCTGATTTTTAAAGAATTTATTTGCAAATTATGGTGGAAAATAAGTATTTGGTCAATAACACACTGTTGCTGGTATTTTGGCCCATTCCTCCATGCAGATCTCCTCTCGAGCAGTGATGTTTTGGGGCTGTCGCTGGGCAACACGGACTTTCAACTCCCTCCAAAGATTTTCTATGGGGTTGAGATCTGGAGACTGGCTAGGCCACTCCAGGACTTGAAATGCTTCTTACGAAGCCACTCCTGTTGCCCGGGCGGTGTGTTTGGGATTCATTGTCATGCGAAAAGACCCCCACGTTTCATTCTTCAATGCCCTTGCTGAGGGAGGAGGTTGTCACTTCAAAACTCACGATACATGGCCCATTCATTTCCTTACACGGGGATCAGTCGGTCCTGGTCCCCTTTGCAGAACAACAGCCCCAAAGCATGATGTTTCACCCCCATGTTCACAGTAGGTATGGTGCTGCTTGGATGCAACTCAGCATCGTTCGTCCTCGAACCGTCTCGTTGATTTTGTTGGGGGTTGTTGTGGTGTTTTGAGCAATAGATTCGTTTTTGGTTTCATCTGACCATATGACATTCTCCCGGGCAGATCCGTCTCTGGGATCTATCTAAATGCTCTCTAGCAAGACTTCAGCGGCCTGGACATTCACGTGGCTTGTAGCAGGTGGTACATGACGTCTGGCACTGCAGGATTTGAGTTCGGCGGGCGGCGGTAGTGTGGTTACTGATGGTAGCCTTTGGTTACTTTGGTCCCATGCTGCTCTGCAGGTTCAGTGGAGCTAGTTCTCCGCTCGTGGGGTCTGGGAGTTGTTGGTTCACCGGTGGTGTGTTTCTCGATTTTGACCCACGGGTGAATCCTTGCCGTGGAGCCCCAGGAATCGGAGGGAATTATTCAGTGGTCGTTGAAGCTTTTCCATTTTCGTAAGTGAA